CCATGGTAATGTTCTTACTGAAAGATATAACTATTGTAATAGCTACAGGAAAGAAACCAACCAAAGAAAACCAGATATGGATTTCTTCCTCAGAAACTGCATGGCCCTGGACTTTCACTGGATAACAGGACATCATTTGGTCCTTTATGAAGAAATCACAGTAGAAGTTCTTAATGTTTTTTGTTTAAAAGCAAATGACTGAGATTGTTACATTTTGCCTTTTTCCTAATATATACATACATGAACACGTAAGTCAGAAAAATGTGTCATGATATTAGATGGTTCAACTTAGATTTGCTGTTTGTTTATAAAAACATGACTAACAACAGTCTCCTTTTCTAATTCCTTGTATTAAAGTAAAATATCAGCTTTAATAAATTTTATTTACATACTTTTGAAATAGAGAGGGTAAGTTTTTCCTAGTTATCCTTTGGTAACACACAATCTTAGCTGCAATTAAGTTTTTTTTGTTTGTCTGCCATTTTATTTTAATTTTTAACATTACATTATGAAGGTTAAACTGCTTCCTATAAAAACTGTTGAAAGTTGAACTTCTTATTGTGTAAGAAATGTTTTAACTTTAACTGTTGACTTGATGTTTAACTGTTGACTGGATATTTTCTTTAACTACTGATTGCTAAAATTCATTTATTCATTTTGACCTATTTAGTGTGAATTCTCAAAAAGTGTCTAAAGTATACTGGTTTATAAAAACAAAAATAAGTATAGAGTTTACAAACCATATTGAGTAAACAAGCCTTTAAATATTCTTTGTCACAAAATAATGTGATAAAAGCGTAGGATATTCAGTGTAATGGTAAGGTAAAGGTAATGAAAAAGGCAAAGAAGTTTTATATATACATCAGAGGGAAAAAAATTAGACCTGCTGTTAAGGTATTCAAAATTTCAGGCTGCTTTTGAAAAACTGACAAGGTAAACTGACAGCATAATTAAAATACATGGGTTTCTTCCTACTTCAGGGAAAGAGAAAGCTGTAAGCCAGTGTTTTTGGCTACCTAACAACTCCTATATTCAATTTTCTTCTGTCATATTTAGATCAATTAATCATGTGAATATGGAGTAAGATAATCACAGCCAAATCCTTATCCAGCTTACTTAGCTGTCCAAATAGCAAAGCTATTCCAATAGTATGTGCACTCTTGTAGAACAACTGTCTTCTGATTTTTTCTCTTGCAAGGTTTCAGAAGTTCATTAATTCAAAAGAAGGCCAGTGTTCTTGGGTATAAAGACTCATGGTATGGTGATTCATAGTACAATTAATGTATTTTTTCCAAGGGTATTTGAATGGTGAATTACAGAGTATGTACAACCAGCTTGACAGGGCACTGCAGACAAAACCAGAAAATGCTGAGCTCAACAATGACACAACCTCCTCTCCATGTGGTAAAGGCCTCTTTCACAGATCATGGTTGAGAGACAATACACCAAGAACATGCAAATAGGGCAAACCTCTGTAGTGCCAGACTTCAACTGAGTACTCATAATGTCAATTATTGGCAATGAATGGCTAGAAACACATCCTTATTGGTCCTGGTCAGGAATTGGCATTGAAATTCCTATCACTACCCCAGGCAGACATGCTCTGAATGCTGTCTGCTTTTTCCTGTCTTTTGGGATGCCTCAGTTCACCCTATAAAGAGGTACACTTTACCTTTGTTCTTTTTTCCTTTTTGTTTCATTTACTCTCTCATGGATAGATACATAAAAAGAGAGCATCTCCCCTGAACATGTTTTGTGTCACCTATTCCCACTGGCATAGGAAACTAGCCTAGAATTTCAACCAGACTTTCAGCATCCAAAATTTTAGTTAACCATTTTTAGTTTTACCATTCTGTGGTAAAGTATAACGCTATATCGAAAATAAGAAGTTCTTTTTTTCTGTTTGCTTGTGCACTTTTGTTTGGTTGGTTTTGGTTTTTGTTTGCTTTGGTTTGTTTTGGTTTGGATATTTGTTTGCTAGAGAAGAAGCTAAGCAGGATTGCTAATTTAGTTCAATTCCCAAATTAATCTCAGCCACAGCTTTGTAGAATGCAGTTCCTATTTAGTAAGTATGACTTCTGCTCTTTCCTCTAAAACCTTAATAATTCACCCTGTTAAAGTGCTTATTTATATTATATATTATATATTATATATTAAGGTATATTTATATTGTATATTTAGGTATATTGATTATTTATTTCTTCATAATTGCTTTTATTCACTATTTCACCAATCCTCATTTCATTATGCATTTCATCATAAATGATTTGTGCTTACTTCCATATAATCGACAAAAGTATTGAACAAAGCTGGCCTGGAAACTTAGAGTTTCCTTTGAACTTCTCTGAAAACAAATGATAAACACATTATGAAGTCCACCAGCTAGATCTTAATGCATTTAATTTGAACCGCACTGATATGGTGCTATTATTTAAAATGAAAAATTAATACAAAATTAGGCCAAAAGTCAAACTCTACTTATATTAAATCCCTGCATTTTATGTCTGCTAACTTCAAATAATGAAATTAGGAGTTTAAAAAGTTATTTTTCCATTAAAAATTTTCAACTGCTTTTAGTGATTGGGGTTTTTTTATTTAATTCTTTCTATTTAATTTTTCTATCTAATTTTCCATTATTGCAAGCAAATCTGATGTCAGAGTAAGTACTTTAAAAGTTAGCAGAAATATTCATTAGCTGTGCTTGAGTATTGAGTATCTGAAAACTTCAGGGAATCAACGAACTAGTAATAATTAAAACTCTGAAGAACATTTAATGAGTTATTCCTAGATGTTATCACTTTCCCTAACTGCTAATGGACTGGAAATTTTTTTGTCATCAAGGAGTTCAAACACATTATCTTTTTCTACACAGAAAGAAAGCTGAAACATATTCTCAGTTAGCTGTTTTACTAATCATTCTCTGCTGTTATCATTTTTATTAGATCTTCACATAAAGTACATATTCTACTTTATTTTTAGGCTTAAGTTTTCTTTCCTCACACACTTGAACTTTTCCTGTTGATTTTCTACATTTAGTAAACACCTACCTACATGGTTAAAGAACCATTTAAGTTCAACTTCCCACATTTCTGATAAATTTCGTGCTATTTTTTAACTTTCCATTGCCAACTGAAAAAGTGTGGGTGTATATGCATATTTAGTTTATTTCTTTATTGATGAATGACAACATTTTGACTCCCATGTAACCTGTGTAAAAGCACTCAACTTTTTTCTGTCTAAAATACATTCAATTTTCCCTAACTTTGGCATTTTAAGAACTAAGCATATTATTGTATTGGAGCCACAATCTGCTTGTCCTAAATGAATGTTAGGAAGTCACAATCACTCCAAGACACTAACTTTGGCTGAAAAAAAGATATGTTTTTATTCAAAGTAGAGAGTTATTTATATTAAATACAAACTCAAATTCAGGTAACACACATTTTTTTTAAAACTCTTATGATGTGTTCATTGCTTCCATAAAATCGCTGACAGTACACTCCATATTTTCCTAGTAACAATTTTTTTTCCCAGTCTTTATTGTTTAGCAATAATTTCTTGTGTGCCTAAATGTTTTTATTTATAACCATGCATGTATAATGACTAGCTTTGTTCCATCCAAATAAAACTTTAATGCATATACACCCAGAAATATAATCAGGTTTTGCACAGGAAATTCACAAAAAAAAAGTTAAACCCAAATTCAACGTAGAAAATGTATTCCTGGCTCCATAGCAAGTACTGAGTCTCTACTTTCACTGAAAAATAAAGCATAAAATATAAGTTAAAACTAATATATTTAAAATTAATTTACTGAAGACTGAAGAAATTTTCATCTCACCTCATCTACACCATTCCATAAAATTATGTCTGAATGAACCAGAAGGTATCTAGCCAAACAATCTGGTCACATTGTTAAAAAATGACAAATAATCAAGGCATTCAAACCTGTACTCTGTTCAGTACTGCGAACCTGATGTACACAGAATGAGAAGGCAGACAATCATAATCTTCTAATAAAGCTACCTGCTGTTTTGTATCTACATGAGTTTGAATTATACCAGATGTAAGGTTATATACATTTATAATGTGTGCATACAGTACAGGGCACAGTGAAGGAAACTTTAAATCTAAAAAAAGGCATTTTAACATGGGACAAATAACTTCATAGCACATGAAGAGAGCCAAATGGAAAAAGCTTTCAAACATATATTTTTTAGGGATGACCAATAGAAAGACACTAGCTTTGGTGATAATACATGTATTATTTGAAATTCTAAGATCATATATTACTTCAGACTAAGGGAATTCCTTCCAGGATATATAATTTCCACTGATATTACAACTTCATTCCAAACAGAAGCTCATGCTTATCCTTTACTCCAGGTTAATAAAATAGATTGGGGTATTCCTTCTTCACTACAGTGTTTCTATCAGACATTGCAAATATTCCAGTAAATCATGAAGGTTCAATGACAGAAATTACTTTGGCAGGACAAAATATTCTTAAGATTTATTTTATATAACTTTCAATTAAATAAATTAATGCAAAATATAACAATGGACTACATGAGGGAAATTGTATGTATTTGAATTCTCCAAGTAACCACCACTAATACTGTGGCTGAATTATTAAGAACTAGATTTTGACCTATGACACAATATTTCAGTGAAGTTTCCTAAAACAGCATCTTTGAAACAGTTTATTCATCATATTCCTCATAGGTAATAATTAAATAGAAGTCAGTATCCATAGATGCTGCTGCTCCAATAAACCCACAGGGCAGCTCCAGCCACTGTGGGCTCATGTTGTCACACAGCTTACCAAAGGGTGGGAAGTTAAGATTCATAACTTCCTTGAGCTGAGCCTATTCTGTCGTTCATGGCTGGTAAATAAATACCAGACAAGAATTATTTGAAACGGTACATATGCTCTTGAATATCTAAACTGTTCTCATTTCAACCCAGAATTAACAATTGACCAATAAAAATTCACTCACCCTCTCTTCGATTAAGCCTTGCAAATCCAGGGCTGTGGCTGCTAGACAGCTCTGATGAGCTACTGAATGATGACTGAGGCAAAGCAGACACCAGCTGATCATCACAATTATCTGCAAATGAAAAATATCACATTCAGGTTAATCAGAAAGAACTGCTTACTGGAACTGTAACAGAATCAACTCTGCATCTGAGGGCAGCATATCTCTAAGTATTTCCTCTTGCTGTATTATGTATAGAGGTATCAGCACCAAGGCAGAGGTTTTGGGTTTTTTTACCCAATATTTCATGAGACTACCAGATAATAATTTATCATGTTCTTTAACCAGCTAGTTTTACCCACTTCTAACTTAACTTCTGAGATTAGAGAGAGAAATAATTCAGTCCACTCACTATGATTTACAGGAATAGCAAGTGATAAATTCAATTCTCTGTTGTAGCACCAACCTACAATCTCACCATATATTTGTAATCACTTTTAATGTGCAATCACATTTAATACAGCTGTTTCTAAAAAAAATTATAAAGCCAAGCAAACTGAATTAAATTAAATAAAAAAGTAATCTCATCCCTTTTAAGCACAGTAAGCATGACAAAATGGAAGTTTTTGCTTTGCAAATGGTGTATGCATTTGATACAGACACAGCAAAATAATCATTATCTCACAATTATTAGTATGCAAGTCCTAACATCATAACAAATAAAACCCGAGTGTTTCAGAAAAAGACTTAACTGCAGCTCACAATCAATTGTGCAGTAACAAGCAAACGTTAATCAATACTCTAGCTTTAAAAGCCTCTCTAGCTGAATTACAATACAGGATATGTGTTCATTCTCCACTTAAATTTGAAATGTATCAATTGAGAATCAATATCTGATCTAGTTTAGCTGAAAGAAAATTAGCTTTAAAAAATCTCAAGTGCAGCAAGACCTTCTCTAACTATACTGGGGCTGGCATCAGTTCTTTAGAGAAAGAGGAAATTATGTCAAATTTTAGTCCTCTTATGAAGTGTTTATTTTCAAGACAATCACATTCCTTAGATGCAACTAATAACTGACAAGTCATAGGTGAATTCTTCTTCTTCCAACTTTCTATTTGTCTACCACGATTCACAGTCAAAGTCCATAAATATTAATGAACACAAAATCTTTTCCTTACCTTAATTAATAATTAAGTGTTTCTGATAAGTAATTATAGAGAATTCTAATTAATCACAGACTTTAATATGAATGTCCCAAGGGGATTTTTGATCACATCCAAAAATTTTGATTTTGATATTGTTGAATTTAGTTCTTTGAGGAAAACTCTTTTTAAAGAAAAGGCCAAGTAGTGTCCTTGACTGTTAGAGTTAGAAGTTCTCTCTTGAATCCCACAACAAACAATAAGTTTTATTAATTGCTCCTGATAAAGTCACATATGCCACATTCTACTAAGTTCAGAGTACTTCTCTCATAAAAAAATAAAATTTTCCTTACTTTCAGAACTTTATTTCCCATTCCAAGTTTACACAATGAAAAGGCAAAAATTTATATCTACTCTTTAGTGTCTAACTACAATTTTTTCACTTCATTATCCATAGAATAGATTTACAGTGAAAGAAACTGTTCTATTTGGGACAAATTGTCCAACTGGTAAGCACAAAAAATAAAAGAAATGAAGGTCTTAGGAGTAAATGCAATGCACTGGTAAGTCTAAGAAAAGTATTTCATTAGTGAAAGATTTCTTCACAGCACAGAAAATAGAAAGAACTTATTAATCATAAATTGCATTAGAAAGAGAAGAAAAGGATGATGCTGTGCTTCACACAGAGAGCTACTTACACTGCTGATTCAAGGGAACATTTCAAGTGTCATTGATCCTTTTTCTACTGCCAAAGCCTACACTGTAAGTCCAGATACCAAGATAACTATTAAGAGGAGAAAATAAAAGGCATTTTTACTCAAATCTATATGCATTATATACAGTCACAGACCCACAGAATCACAGAACAGCTTGAGTTGGAAAAGACCTTTAAAGGCCATCTAGTCCAACCCCCTGCCATAAGCTCGGATACCTGCACTAGACCAGATTTCCCAGAGCCCCATCCAACCTAATCTACAACGTTTATGGGTGTGCAGCATCTACAGCCTCTCTGGACAAACAGCTCTAATGTTTTACCATGCCCATCATGAAAAATTTCTTCCCTGTAACTCATCTAAATCTACCCTATTTTGTTTCAAAACCATTTTCCCTTGTTCTATTGCTACCGACTTTCTTATTAAGTACTGAAAGGGCCACGATAAGGTCTCCACAGCAGCTTCTCTTCCACAGACTGAACAATCCCAACTCTCTCAGCCTTTCTTTATAGGAGAGCTTCTGCTCCATCCCTCTGAACATTTTTTCAGCCCTCATCTGGACCTGCTCCACAGGTCCATATCTTCCCTGTGCTCAAAACTGCAGAGCTACTTGCAACAGAATGTCTCATCTCACTCAAATGCCTCATATTTTAAATATTGATCTTCTGGTGAGAGGTGGCATGTGTTATGAAATGAATCATCAGGAATGAGAGCTTGCCATTAATACATAGAAGCACTAGTAGATAAACAACAGCAGGCACACTACTTTTAAATCACCCCTGGGTATAACTCTTCACAAATTTCAATTCAAAATAAACCAAAAAAAAGAGCTACATTTCCACTGGATGGATGATACATCTGCCTTTGTAATGTTAGCTTCTGCCAAATACATTTTTCACCTTTTTTCTTTTTAATGTACATGTTGGAAAGGAATCAATGGTACTGAATTATTCTACCCAGATGGCCTAATACATGTGTATTTGTGAGACACACATATTGCTTTGAGATATTCCCAGAAGAATTCTATGAGCACTTAGCATTTATCATATAATAGTTTATGTCAAATTTGATTTATAATAGAAAGACACATAAAATTTTGAATATTAAAAAGAGGTATTATCCAAAATCCACCAGTCCATGATATGGCTTTTTTCCTTTTGCACAATATGAGAAATGAGCAATGTTTCACAAATAGATATACACGGAATAATTATACATTTCTTTTACAACAGCCACTATGCATTATTTCAGGAAAATGACTTCATACGAACTTCTGCTATATTGCTTAGCACATGTAGCTTAAAACATATTCTTATGGCAACTTCCATTGTGCAGTTTAACTCAAAAATCAGTATAAATTCCAGAGTGAAATCAAAACACTTTGTAGAAATTGTCAAGAACCACATGGTGAGTATGAACTTGCTTCTCAATGTAAATTAAAAAAAAAAAAAAAAAAATAGTCTCTACAGGGTGACAATTCTGTATGCTTTCATTTACATTGGAAGACATTAGACATAATGGAAACACTGTTTGAATTCAGTGCTTTCTTACATGCTAACAGTGACTTTTCTTTTCTCTTGGACAGCCTTCCACTGTTCAACCAAACACATCTTGGTGCTGAAGGCAGCTGAAGAGCTTTGTAGTGATATTTCACACAGCTTCTCTTGGCTAAAGGAATATTTAAGTAGACCGCTCTAACATGAAATTTAAAAGAAGGCATTTTAGTTAAAAGTTGTCCATCCTACAGTACTTATTACATTTTTTGTAATAAATATCTATTTTTAAATAATACAGAAGAATACCAAAAGCCTAGGTTTCTTTAAAATATACAGAAATCTGATAACAAAAAAGGTTTTGTGAAAGAAATAATATATAAACAACTTACATATTATCTGTTATCCAAGAAAAGTTATTCAAGTTATATAAGGCATGCCTTCCATGTACCATAGTTCCAGTGTGAGTTTAATTTATAAAGCAACTGAGACATTTTAAAGGAATCAAACTCTTAAGTGATGCATGAATAAAGTATACCTATCATTTCTCTTCCAGATCCAAACAATATCCCATTATGCATACTCAGAGTAAGGCAAGAAGCTTTTAATACACACATACTATAAATTACATAGATAATGCCATATGAACTACAACAAGGAGCTCAAACAGGATATCATTTTATAATAATAACAGTTACAATAACTATAGTAACAGTTATGATGACTATGTTTATAACACTGTGGTTGAACAAATAAATTTTGTTTCTTCCATCAAAGTAGCTGCTTGCTGAAATAAAAATTGTAATAAAAATAGCAGAATACTGGGACAACCTGAGATTTGTTTATTCGGAATGCATAGGTGTATATTTTAATTTTCATGTAGTGAAAAAAACATGATTTCACTTTCAGGCATAAACCTTCTCTTTTCTATGAAAACTTCAAAAATATATGGAGCTGATTTTACTTTAAATGGAACAGTTTCTTTGTCTGAATTATCAGCTTGGTCCACAATAATGACTAACAGATTTTAATGCTTTTCAATTTGAGTGCAAATTTACTCTAAATAAGCAAATATGAACATCCAGTGCCTAGCTACCACAAGTTGTTGTGAAAAATATTCTGTTCATAATTATCTGAAAAGCACACTCATTACATCATTGCATTGACTTTACTCATGACATAGCTTAACTCAGACTAAAACCTCCCAACCCAAGTGCATACACAAATTAACATATTGCAATTTCACTTATTTTACTTTTAAATGGAATTATTTTCAGCTATTATATTGTTGTATGCACCTTTTTTTTCCTTAAAATTCAATTTACTCCAAACTTCCTTAATCAACAAGAATTACCAACTCCTTAATTAAGTATTAAACTTCTAATAAGGCAGGACAGAAGTAGCATAGGAGGAAAAAAAAAGATTATGATGTTTGACTTCCCTAGAAACCTATCAAGTTCTTTGGTTGCATGAAAGACTCAAAGAAAATATTGAGTATCTAAAGAGCAAAGCAATAATTTAACATTGAACAAAAAAAAAAATCTTCCAGTAAATCACATGAAAACAAAACAAGAGTTTAAAAAAAAATCAAAGAAAGTTTTGCAATTTTTTCTCAAGTAGGGAAAACTAAATACCTAATAATCAGATAAGCAGAACAGCTAAAAAAAACCTAGAAATACAATCACAGTATAGAATAGAAGAGGCAATAGCTCTGGGAGTCTCTCAGAAGTGTAATAATGTTCATCTTTCTCATGCAGGTAAGCCCTAAGAAGGATCAACTGTGC